AGAAAACTGAAAAAAGGCAGGATTTCTGACAGGATCCCGAAAAATTTCTAATAATTACCCTGGTTAATTATCTGAGCAAATAAGATATAGCTAAATTTTGTCTTTTTCCCTTAATTGCCTCTTACTCTTCCATACTCTTTTTGATTTTTACAAGTTTCGGGCTACTACTTTAAAGCCGTGGTGATAGCTTTTATTTCTTTTCTTCAAAAATCTTAATCTAATCTTGAAAAAAATTCAGAAAATTCCTTTTCCTATTGTCAATACTGGCATGTGTCAATTTTGTCATAAGCAATGATTACCTCACACTTGATGAATGTAACAAATCCATGCATAAAAAGGTTACAAACGACTGCAAGTAAAATATTTTAATGGAAAGCTTTAATATAGAAGTTTCATTTCTCATTGATAGGGTGATGTTATGAGAGATACCGGACCAAGACGAGATCTTATTCAAAAAAATTAGGACGAAAATTGACTTCATGTAAGCAGGCAGAGAAGGAAAAATTATTTATGACCATTTGTGCCCCCCCCTATAATGCGGGCACCCCGATCTTTACAAGTGTCTGTAAGCATATCATTAAGACTGATATTCTCAATAAAGTTCAATCTCTCGCCCTCGATAACCGAGATTAATTGAACAGGATCACGTCTCAGTCAGAGGCAACAACACCCTTCGAGACCAATGAGAAGAGACCAAATCGCTTTATTATAAAAGGGAAACAGTCTAATTTTTAAACAGATGTATATATGAAGATTACATTACTTGTGAAGTAATTTTAACTACTTATCAAATTTGTAGCAAGACTTTTCTGAAAGAATATTATAAAACAAACTTGACTGATTGCGATAAAACTTATTCTGAATGTAATTCTAAAGATCAATGTCTAATAGGAATGTGTGGATGTTTTAAGTAAGTCTATGTTGAAGCCAAGAGAGTTATTTTCTTAAAAATGTCCGCAAATTTTGTAAATTTGTCTGCAATCTTTACAAGGTCTACAAGTCTACTTGCGGATTTTGTAACAAAATTTGCGGATAATTTTTTAGTTTTGCGGACAACTTTCTTTTTATTTTTAATAGTGCCTGTCACCGGATCCGGCCGGATTTTTCCGGAGTCCAGGTCCCAAATCCGGGTTTTTTTTTTGCGATTTCCGGATTTTTTCCGGACCGGATTAATCCGGAAAAATCCGGCCGGATCCGGCTCTATTTGAAAATTCGGAATCCGGGTCCGTTTTATAATTCATTTTATTAAACTATTTTCTGACAAAAATTAAAATTAAGGTCAATGGTTGCCTGTATTGATAAGAAATGTGCACTACCAGAAGCAATGACTGGAGTCAAACGTGATAATCAAACGTGAACATTCAAAAATAATTTAATTTTTAGGAGCTCGGTCCGTTCATGCCTTAACTAGTTTTAATGAATTTGTTGGTAGAAATTTCGATAAGACAATTGAATTAAAGAAGGAAGAGTGAAGAAGAAAAACTTGCAGATTTTAACTTGCGGATTTTTAAATTTTGCGGACAAAAAAATTTTTTATATAATTCTTTCCCTTTATACAAGCAAAAATTTCGAATTTTGTCCAAAACTTTTTTTTGAATTAACTTAAAAAGCTGAAAATTGCGTGGCGCGACATGTGGGGATCGGACTTTTGGGGACCCGACAGTTGGGGACGACTTTTGGGGACCCGACTTTTAGGGACCCGACTTTTGGGGACCCGACAGTTGGGGACGACTTTTGGGGACCCGACTTTTAGGGACCCGACTTTGGGGACCCGACACTTAGGGACCCGACTTTTAGGGACCCGACACTTAGGGACCCGACAATTGGGGACCCGACATTTGGGGAGGAAATAAAATTTTAAAAAAATTTGAAAATCTTCCTAAAGCAAGTGCATGGTCGGATATTAACAACACATGGTCATTGACGCAGCTCGATGTTTGAGTCGAATGAGGGTGAAATCCAAGCGCGGGAGTTAACGATCAAGCGCGGAGGTCAACAGCCCGTGCTTGATCGTTAAGTCCCATGCTTGACTCCCTCGACATTTGACTCCCGCACTTGGTTTTCACCCTCATTCGACTCAGATATCGAGCTGAGTCGATGACCATGTTTTGTCCATATCCGACTATGTATTAAAGACCCGCTTTAGGAAGATTTTCAAATTTTTTTTAAATTTTATTTCGTCCCCAGATGTCGGGTCCCCAACTGTCGGGTCCCCAAAAGTCTGATCCCCAAATGTCGGATAGCCGAAAATTGGTATACCTATGTAAAAATGTATTTCCGATCGGATAGTTTTTTCCGATTTTTGAAATTTCGACTTTTAAGGCCGAAAAGATGAAATTTGTCAGAAATTGTATTTAGATAGTGAAATAAAAGAGAAAATAAATTAGTTGCTTGGCGGTGTAGTGGTTAGTGTGTTAGATTTTGGGGGTGGGGTCGAGGGTTCGAACCCAAAAGGAATTAATATTTTTTCCATTAATAAAAAATGATATTTAAATTAGTTTTATGATTAAAATATATTCTTAAAAAGATTTTTTAGTGTTTAGAACGCATTTTATGGATTAAAAGGAATATTGGTGATTAAGTGCGATATCTATAAATTTGAGTGATATGAGGAATTTGAGTTTAAGTGAATAAATGATTATAGAGGGCATAATTTGAATGGATATAGAAGGATTAGGTGGATTTAGAAGGATTAAAAGATAAGTTGGATTTAGCGGGATGAGGTAGATTTAGAAGGATGAGGTGGATTTAGAGGGATTAAAAGATTCAGAGGGATTAAACGATAGAGAAATAAAAATATTTAGGGGGATTAAAAGTTGTAGAGGGATTAGGTGGCTTTATAGGGATTAGGTGGCTTTAGAGTATTAAAAGATTAAAAAAGGATTCAGAGGGATTAAAAGATTCAGAAAGATTAAAAGATTTAAAGGGATTAAAAGATTTTAAGGGATTATGTGGATTTAAGGTGTTTAAAAGCTGTAGAGGGATTGTGTGGATTTAGAAGTATTAAAAGTTTCAGAGGAAAAGATTTAAGTCGATTAAAAGATTTTAGGTTTTGCGGGATTAAAAAATGTTTAAAAGTTGTAAAGGGATTGGGTGAATAGTGTGATTAAAAGATAAAAAAAGATTCTGAGGGTTTGGTTGATTTATAGGTATTAAAAGATTTAGAGAGATTAGATGTGTTTATAGGGATTATATGTATTTAGGGGGATTAAAAGATTAAAAAAAGATTCAGAGGCATTAGGTTGATTTAGAGGGATTAGGTGGATATAGTGTGATTAGCTGGATCTAGAGGGATTAAAAGATTTAAAGGGATTAAAATATTTAGAGGGATTATTTGGATTTATAGGGATTAAAAGATATAGTGATTATTAAAGGAGTTAAAACATTTGAAGGGATAAATGTTTTGAGGGAAAAAAAGATGTAGAGGGGATTAGAAAAAGGGTTTGGAGTGGTAATCCCTATGTGGGGATGGTAATCCCTATACGGAAGATGAATTATGTGTATGTCGGAAAATACGCAATCACCGATAAGTACAATTTTTATCTGCATACTTTTCAAAAACCCTTTTCGGAGCGCGCTGGTTGTAGTGGAAATAAATATTTTTAATCAAATAGACTATTTTGTAGCCACGGAATATTTCAAAATCAGCCTAGGATTTTTTTTTCAAAATTTTAGACTGGATTGCGCCTTATTGGCTTGCTTCGTGTCTATCTTTTATTGTGTGTTTTGTGTCTACCCAATGTTAGGAAACGAATAAATGCACGTGTTTATTGACTTTTTTGAGCTGTAAAAATGAGCTGAAAATTATATTTTTTTAGACAAGGCATAGTAAAATAGAGACAACATTTTGGGGTTATTTTATCGTTGAGAATGTGAACTTAAAAGTTTGGAAATTTTGCTGGCTAGGGCTTACCTTATAAATACACCTAAAATCATGTTTTTCTAGTCAAAAAAGATGTGAAATGACAAAAAACATTATAAAAGGCTAAAAATGGGAGCCATCACATTTTTTGAAAATTAAAAAAATTCATCGGGCTCGAAATGGTCAAAAATCATCGGGGTGATTTTTGGGGGTAAAAAATTGAATATGCAAATAATAGCTCATTCGACACCTCTTTTTAGTCAAGAAAAACAGGTTTAAGTGTGTTCATAAGGTAAACCCTTACCGTTTTGCTGAGTTTCGCAGTCAAAATCTCAAAAAAAAATAATTTTTGATTTCTCAAATTCTTGATTTTGGCCTATTATTTTTTTATTTTCGCACTTTTTTTGCCTTAACCAACCCAATACTATTTTCATTTTTTTCCTCCTTTCTCCTGTTTAATAATTAATTTTCTCTTCTCAATATCGATTTTTTCTACGCTAAAATAATTTTTGGTGCACTAAGGTAAATCTGCACACAACACACAGTTATTTCAATAAATATTTACAAAAAAGCGGAGAATTTTGAGAAAATATAAATAATCATCTGTTGCTTTTTCCATTTAAATAAGTAGAAAAATAAATATATTTTACCAAAAGTTGAGTAGAATTCTTAGAATTATAACAGGAAAATGAATGAAAAATCGATTTTTGGGGGGTCGTGGGTTCGAACCCGCTTGGGGTATTTTTTATTTTTTAATGCCGTCTTTTTCATTTTTTGGTGCCTTTAAGCTTGTTTTAGTCACATTTACCCATTAAAATTTTTATTTTCCATTTTGGGCGTATTGCCCTTATTTCCATATCGAAGGATGGGGGTCGTGGGTTCGAACCCGCTCGTGGTATTTTATTTTTTATTTTCATTTTTTGGTACTTTTATGGCCTAAAAAGTCGCTATTTTCACTTTTATCACCCTAAAAAATTTTTTTGGATAAATTTTCTTTTAAAAATTTCAGAAAAAATTTTTTTGGACATTTTGGCCCACCCAAAAAAATTTTCTCAAAAAATAATTTCAGGGTGGGCCAATTTTGCCTCTATTATTTTAGCAACTCTATTTAGAGTCTTTTGTTCTTTTTTTAATTGAAATGACAAGGCAAAATGACTCCTTGCTCAACAAGACAAATTCTGCCGCTGCCAATAATTCAGCTTCCCAACAGGTAACGAATGGAGTTATTGTGCCCAATAATGGTGGTAAAATTGCAACAATTGATATGCCGGTGCATTGTTTTGATGTGGTTTGGAATTTTATTTTTTTTATGGTTTAATGGGGTTTGTGGGCATTTTTTGGGAAAATTAGGGGTTTGTGGCCAATTTAAAAATTATCGGGCATCGAGCGGTATCGAACCCGGGACCCCCAAAATTTTTGATTTTTTGTTCTATTTTGCTTCCTTTTGTTTTCAAACTTGGATAACTGTCAAAATTGTTTGTTTTACTATCAACCCAAACCAATTTTAGTCTCTTATTTGGTTTTCGGATTTTTAAATACCCCCCCCCCCACCATTTGGAATGCAGATACTCATTGGTTTGACCATTTTCAAACCTTTGACACTTGCATTCCTATAGCGTTCTCCACTGTTTTCCGTAAAGCGTAGTTGTACTTTCTTAGTAACTTCTACGTACAAATTAACAGTGACACTTTGTCCCAAATACTTATTTTAGGGTGGTCGCGGGTTCGAACCCGCTTGAGTCCCCCAATTTTTTTTTCTAAATTATTTTCGATTCTTTCGCAGATAATTGCACATCTAAGCAAAAGTAAATTGCCAAAATGCCCAAATAATGTTCCAAATGAAAATTTTCCTTTATTTGTAACTTGGAAGAAAGGCCACCAACGCCATCTTCGAGGATGTATTGGAACTTTCTCGCAAAATTTGCCACTTCATGAAGGACTCAGCGAGTATGCTCATACAAGGTTTATAGGAAAAAAGCATTTTGAGGGCTTTTTTGTAACTTGGAAAAATTAATTTTAAATTTTAGTGCCTTCCGCGATTCCCGATTTGATCCAATCACTCTACACGAGATGCCCCATTTGCATTGTGCTGTGTCTTTATTGGTTTATTTTTTTATTTAATTTTTAGTGTTTTATTTTTAGTTTTATTTTTTTTTTATTTTTATTTTTTTATTATTAATTTTTAAAGTTTTATTTGTTTTTGTATAACCGAACATTATTTTTGGTTTAAATATTCAATTCAAAATTAACGGGCCTCAGGGTTTCGAACCCATGACCCCTCGGAATTACCCATGACTAGGGTTGGGGTTTTCGAGTCGGGCCGACGTTCGAGTCATTCTTTTCGGGATTCATTTTTTCGGGCGGCCCGACCGAGTCTTTTTCGCGCCAAAATTCAATGCCCGACTCGATCTTTCGGAACGGGCCGGATCGGACCTCCAACCCTCTATTTCGCACCCTCGGGATTTTTGGTTATTTTAGAGAGCTATTTTTCGTGTAGAGGAGTGTTTTCATGTAAGTGAGCTTATTTTCTTTGAAATTTCGATAAAAAAATAAATGGGCCTCCAGCGGGATCGAACCCACGACCTCTCGGAACATGCCATTTTTTTTACTTTTTTTGGAGAATTTTAAGAGTGGAATTGAATTGACTCAAACTTTCGAGGCTTTTGGGGTCCTTTAAGTTTTAATTAAGTTAAAATTCTGTTAAACTGATACCCAAACTTTTTTTAATTTTAAAGGTTTGTTTTGAACCAGCCCGCCATTATCGTGATTGGCTTATAGGAATCCATGGAATACGAATTGAATATCGACAACATCACCGTTCAATGAGCGCTGTTTACTTGCCTGAAGTAGCTAGAGATCAGGGTTTTTCCTTCTAAGAAAATTTTTTTCCAAATTTAATTTTATAGGCTGGAATCACGTTGAGACTGTAAACAATTTGATGCGTAAAGGAGGATTTAAAGGTGAAATAACTGAAATGGACAGACAAGCAGTTTTGGTTGAACGTTTCCAATCCGAGAAAATGTCTATATCATATGAGGTTTCTTTAAAGATTTTTGAGAAAACAGAAGGTAGTCGGTGGGGGAGAGGAGAGGTCGGAGGTTCGAACCCCCTCCGGGTAATCTTATTTTTTAAGCTTGTTCTATTCTTTGGTAATTTTTAGCTTTTTTCAGTCAATTTGTCTATTGAAATTTTTATTTTCCCTTGAAGTCAAGGCAAAAAGCCCTAGTTCCACATAGAAGTTTGGGGGAGGGAGGGGGTCGTGGGTTCGAATCCGCTCGGGGCCGATTATTTTTTAACAAGTTGGAAATTTATTTCTAGACGGTAAATGAGTCAATTTTTAGTTTATTTTCTAAATTTAGCTGCATTTAAAGCTGAAAATGGAATAATTTTGGGGAGAGAGGGGGAATAAACGAATCGTGGGTTCGAACCTGCTCCGGGTAATTTAAAGTTATTCGAACTAAATTTTTCTATTTTTAGACGAAATCAAAGTTTATAATATCCTCCCCTAATTTTAGGAATATTTAACCTACAAAAAATTTCAACAACAACAACGTAACGGTGAAATAACAACTTTGGACGGTGCTGGTGGAGGAGGCGGGGGAGGAGGATGCCCTCCATCTTCAAACGGTGGGCCTCGAAATGGGCTTTTATGCAACGGGTTTTTAAATTCTTGTCTTCCATGATTGAAGGAAAAACCGGTGTGCTTAGAAAAGAAGGGGAAAAATGAGAGGATGAGTGGGATTTTTTTGGTGGGAAATTTTTCTAATTTTTTGGTGGTGAAAGGTTTTTTTCTTTTATATTTTTCCAATTTTTAGGAGTAATGGAATTAAGTCTAAAACAAAATTGGACCTGATTTGAGTCGATTTTTAATTTAATTTTTGGAAATTAAATTCAGTCTATAACTCTGTTTTTGATATTTTTTGAGGGGACGTGGGTTCGAACGCGCTGGGGGCCCGATAATTTTTAATTAGATTTTCTTTTGATTTTTTTCGAAGAAATTTTTTTTAAATAGGCAGCCTATAAGTATTTTTAACTTTTAAGGACATTGAAAAAAATTTTTTTGAATTTCGGCATTTTTATTTTTTGGGCAACCCGAAAATATTTTGGTGACATATTTTTTAAAATTTCCTTTTTTCAATTTAAATTTTTTTTCTAAATTTTAAAACATTTTTTCTTTTTTCATTCTCTCTCCCCTTCAATTTTTTCTCTTTTTCCATTTAAAAATTCTTTTTTTTTGTAAAATTCCTTCCTTCTTTTGGAAATATTAATTAGTAAAAATTTTGGATTTTTTAAGAAAATGTGACTTTTTTAAAATTTTAATTTGAATAAAAAATTTATGGTAAATATTTTTCTATTTAAATTAGTTGGATTTTTAAACAATATAGTCCGATAAGTTACTCCCAAATACTAGAAGTTGTGCCAGTTTCACCTTCGGCAATTTCCGCTTTCAGGTCTCGTAGTATAGTTTTTTGGTGTTGGCTGTAGTTTAGTATATGCCCACCGAGATCGAAACTCAAGTTATATACCATTCGATTCGTCTCGCCGAGCTGAGTTCAAATATGCAAGAATTTTCTGCCGGAGACGAAAACTCGCAGAGATACAGGCCCCCGAAAATCGAAAAACCATAGGGGGGACCAAGCACTTTTTTGGGGTGAAAAATTCGAATATGCAAATGACAGCTCATTCGAAAGAGCTCCTCGAGCTGAGTCGATTGACACCAAAATCAACGAAATCTGACTTGATTGGACAAAGTTGTGATCTTTTATTTTAGCTCCTTACCTATGGCATCTGTGGAGATTTTTGCTGCTACGGAGGCCCCAAATACGTCCAGAGCAAGGGAGATAGGAATAGGTTTATGTTACGAGCCCAGACTCAGCGCCCGTAGACTCCCCGCGAGGCGCGTGCCGCAAAACCCCGCGCGAAGCGCGGGGTTTTGCACAAGCGCCTTGCCGACGCTCCATAGGTTTAGGTTTTTGTTTTTTGGTGTCATAACTTTGTCTAATCTTGTCCAATCACAATGATTTTGGTGTCATTCGACTCAGCTCGTCGAGCTCTTTCGAATGAGGTATTATTTGTATAAAAAATTTTTTATTCCAAAAATCGCCCCTTTGAATCTTCGATTTTTAGAGGTCTATATCTCGGTCCAATCGAGTCGGATTTTGTTGATTTTGGTGTCATTCGACTCAACTCGACGAGCTCTTTCGAATGAGTTATAATTTGCATATTCGAATTTTTCACCCCAAAAAAGTGCTTGGTCCCCCCTATGGTTTTTCGATTTTCGGGGGCCTGTATCTCTGCGAGTTTTCGTCTCCGGCAGAAAATTCTTGCATATTTGAACTCAGCTCGGTGAGAGGAATCGAATGGTATATATAACGATTTTCGATCTCGGTGGGCATATACTAAACCGACCCCTTGGTGTTTCGCCTTTCGCTTTTTAAGATCTGTTTCGGACCATTCCACGTAAACACACCTCAATTTAAGATATGGATCTTAAATTTGGTTGGCCACTTAGCAGGGAAAAACTACCCAAACGATACTTCTTATTTAACATCAAGGGTGTATCTTATATTGAAGTTCGATTTTATAAACTTTAAAAATTAAGGAAAAAAAATTTTTTTAAAGAAAATTTAATTTTTAAGAGAATTTAAATATACAGTGAGGTGCAAAAGTTTGGAACATTTTGTTGTAAATTAGTTAATCAATAATTTTTCGTTCATTTCTCAGTGAATGGTCTGGATTAAAATTTTTTAAAATAGCTATAAGTGTCCTCTATAAATTGATAATAAAAGTTTTTAAATATCTTTGGATATTCTTATATTTTACCCTTAAAATATTTCATACCTAAAAAATGAGAGGTGCAAAAGTATGGAACATTTTTGATTTTGCTGTTTTTTATGCAAAACTCCAAAGAAAAAAATCTATAAAATTTTCATCGGACTTAAATATTGATATTGTAATAGAATAAAAAGAAACTAGGTCCATATTGTTACCATGACCGGAGATTATGACACCTCGAAAATCAACGTAAAATGGGGGTAAGTCACTTTAAAAAATATTTTCGACCTCTTATGGGTTATTCTGAATTTTTATTTTGGGCTTATCTGAAAGCCCTTGAAATTTGCTACAAGATAGCATAAATCTTGTTTTTCAGAAAAAATTCAGTCGGGGGATAAGGACCGTTTATTTTTCAAATGGGCATTTTATGGGACATTTAGGTGTTTTTTGATGTGTTAGAAAGATCAATGGTCCTTATCTCGCTATCAAATTTTTTCAGAAAAATTTTATTTATGTTATCTTATAGAAAATTTCAAGGGCTTTAAGATAAGCCCAAAATGAAAATTCAAAACTATGCATAAGGGGTCGAAAATATTTTTAAATTTGAAAAACCCCGTTTTACGTTGATTTTCAGAGTAGCGAGATCTCGACAATGAATTGAGTTATGGGCCTAGTTCTTTTTTATTTTCACTTATTATCGATCAATATACATGTTTCAATTTTTCTAGATTTTTTTGTTTAGATTTTAACATTAAAATATAATGAAATCAAAAATGTTCCAAACTTTTGCACCCCTCATTTTTTAGGTATAAAATATAAATAGGGTAAAATATAAAAATATGCGAAACTAATTAGGAACATCTATGGTCATTTTATAGAGGACACTTATAGCTATTTTAAAAAATTTTAATCCAGACCATTCACTGAGAAATGGATGAAAAATTATTGATTAACTAATTTACAAGAAAATGTTCCAAACTTTTGCTCCTTACTGTACATACTTTTAGTAAATTAAACCGAATAAAATAAATACAAGTTTAAAAAAGGGTTGAAAAAAATTATATAAATGTACATTTAATTTAAGGGAACGTCCGAGAGAATTTAAAAATTATTTTTTTATTTTTTAAATTTTAAATGGACGTTCCCAAACAAGAAAATTTCCTTAATTTCTTGATAAGATGGAAGAAATTTTAAAAAAAATTTAAAAGAAATGTCTATGTAAAAATGGGTGTTTGGAGGTTTTATAACTAAAATATATTTAGATGTGTATTTTTTGGTTTTATAAAGTCTTGCTCTTAAACTGGGTTCTCATAAATTAATTGAGAATACAACGTGCATTATGGGAGTGGAAAATATGAGGGGTGGTGGAAGGGGGGTGGAAGGAGAATTTAGAAAAAATCTTGTTGAAATTTGGTTAAGTGGATAAGAACTCTGACTACAAAATCTCCCATAAACTAGGGTCACTGGTTCGACCCCTTTCGTGGTTAATTAATTTCTTTAAATTAAGTAAACAAAATAAAAGATAAAATAAACATTTCAGAGAATATTTTAAAAGTCTAAAAAATTTTTTTAACCCCTACAAAAAAATTCAAAAAAAAATGTTTTTCTCCTTCCACCTTCCAACTTTAACGGGTATGTAAATAAATACAAAAATACCCCCCTCACGCATTATTTAAAAAAATATCGAAAAATTTGCTTTAGCGTTTTAAAAGTATAAAAAAAGTTTTCTAAACCTTCACCCATATATTTTTAAATTAAAAAAATTATTTTTCCTTCCAACCAAAAAATTTTTTAACAGGCACACTTTTTCGCTTCAGATTCAGCACCTGTTGTTGGTTGGTGAACTCCATTGCGATTTTGTCCGTGATGTTGTTTGGATTGGACACCTGTGTCAGCGGCGTTTAGGTCGAGACTTGAAATTTTTTTAATTAATTAAAAAAATTTTTTATTCTAATTGTAAACCTTCCGTCTTGTATATTTTGGTAAATACGTCGTGCTGTTTCCAAGAAAGCGTCTTCTACATTTTCTCCACTAAATTTAAATTTATTAATATAAGGTAAAAATTGACTGTAAAACAACATATACTGGCTATTTTTACTAGACCTAATAACTTAAGAAAAATCAGAGATGTTGGAGAAAAGAAAACGGGAGTTTTTGAAAGGTTAGAGTTCAACTCATGTCGGGCCCCAAATTTTTTGAAAATAATGAACTCAAATCTGAGGTGATCTATTGCAAGAGATGACTTCTGGTTTTTTTAAATTGGGAAGAGATGGAAGCCAAGAATAAGTCAATTCAAAAGCCTATTAAACTCCGAGTCCGCGATTTCACAGAAAAAAATTCTCGCTTGTTTAATGTAATAACGAAGTTCGGACCTATAACTATGAT